AAATGACTTTAATACTTGTTATATCTACTTTGGTCCATTTTATATCAACCATATCAAAAGTGTCATATGTATATGTACTCATACGGTGTCATAAGACTGATGGTACAGGTATAACAATTTTAAGGTTACTTTTATAAAAACATAGTTACTTGGTTTCTTTTTGTTAAATGACTTTAATACTTGTTATATCTACTGTGGTCCATTTTATAACAACCATATCAAAAGTCTCATATGTATATGTACTCATACGGTGTCATAAGACTGATGATCCCGCTATAACAATTTTAAAGTTACTTTTATAAGAATATTATTACTTGATTCTTTTTTTGAAATGACTTATACTTGTCATATCTACATACTACATACAAGGTTTCAACTACATACAGTACATTTTCAAAATCATTTGCGTAAAAAAGTCGACCATCTGTATTTCTCGTACTTGTATTTTAAACAACGTAAAACGTCTCACGTCTTTAATAGATCATAAACAAATCGTGGATAAATAACGAGATCCATAAACGAGTAGCTAAGCCAATACAGAGGATAATTGCTCGGGAGTAAAATTTTTAATCCTTTTCTTGTTTCACCCCTTTGGTGATATTTTCCCTTCGAGTATCGATTCGTGCCGCTTCGTGTCGACAAAGCCGGCTCCGTTTTTTGCCTCGGCACGAGTATAATTATGCTTTGGAATAATTTTGCCGACGCCCTTTTGCCGACGAGTTTTATCATCCTGGTATTATCGCACAGCACTGGAAGCTGCCAGGAAATACGGCGTGTCGTATGATCTGCTTATTTATAAAAACTCGGACGATGGTAGATGTAATGCTCTTAGTATTTGCAGCGGCTTTTTATTATTAGCCAGGTTTTTATACCCATTCTTCGCGTATCCGCTTTATTCAGTGGAAGTTCAGATTGTTGAATGAAAGTTTGCTGCTTGATTTTATTCTAGATATGCACCGGTACGATTAAAACAGATATAAATTACTCGGTAAAACCTTTGGGATACTTGAGATCGCTTAACGATTACACCTGTAAACTGCGCACAATCTTTTATCACGTGTTACATATTACTATTTGCAGGACTCGAAAAACTAGTTTCGAAGTTGATGCGAAAAAACATTCTGAACTTTCTTAATGTACGGTATTTCCATTTCTTTATCCAATCCTTGTATGTCAAACCCATGAGGCAAAAGTTATTCCGAAGCTTAATTTAAAATGTATTTTCATAAATATCAAAGTTATGGAGCCAACGGTTGCATACAAATGACACGCCACGCTAAAAGCAATATCTCGGATGCTTTTAAGAAACACGACTACATTCGGTTCGCATTAGTCGCCGTTAAGAAAGAAGACACACGTAAAGAAAATCTGCTTGACAATGAGAAAGATTAATAGTCGAACGAGCGGACAAAAATTATGGAAATTCCGAGCGAAATTGTGACGACAAGCCGCGTCTTTTCAGCTGAAACTTTTGACACGAAATCCCTTGGTCGACGGCTTTGCTCGTGTCACAGAAGAAAGCTCTTTTTTCCGTTTGTACGAGTCTTAGGGTAGCTTTCTAAAAATGAGGTCTATCAAGTTGTGCTAGATTAGGCAACATTACAAACGTGATCTGCATTCTCGCTTTTCGAAATATTACAAATTTAAATTCTGTTTCGATAATTCGGTGGTTTTACTGAATCATTTATTTGTCAGATACTTAATACTCTGTGCGCATACAGCTAATATTATCGCGGAATATATCCGTGTGCACTAAGGCAATATTTACCTATGAAATAATTAATGAATTTCTAGATTTAAGATTCTTAACATACATTAGATAATATATCTATAATAAACGTTGTAAAATCTTGAAGGTGCCCTTAAATAAAATTGATCACTTTCGTAATTAAGGCTCCCGAAATATATCACGGTAATAATTTACAAGGCGGATATTTTGCCTTTCATTTTTAAAGCGAGACACTAAAAGTGCAGCAAAGCAACCGGGTCAGTGACTGTGGGTCACTGCTAATCCTCGACAGCACTCAGCCAGTTAAAATTTAATTTTTAATCGCCAGTTTACTTTTTCTAGCGTTGAATTATTGATTCGATTAATTTAGTTGGACCTTTCACGTTACTGTAATTTGTTTCAGTAACCGGAAGATACTGCAAATATTGGAAACGTCGATCGGTTTAAAAATATATAACAATCGCGGAGTAATAACGGAGGAAATAGGGGAATTTTGGATCTTAGCTTTCTGAAATATTCTCACTGGCGCCGTTAAATCTTTACTTGGCGAGTCGCGAACCTTTAACCTACTTTCCCTTTGACGCATCTGTACGTGTGCACGGGCCGCATTTAAATCGTATTTATTTAACCCGTGACAGAGTAACCGCCTAAAAATAAGAATCGCCAGGATGCACCGATCAATTTCCATTTATTTAGGATACTCTTACTGACCAGCATGCGGTCGCGTCGATATTTATGTTGACGCTAGAATTTTTTAACAACTTCGCCTTTTTTACGTTTCCTCGATCTTAGAAACACCGTAACAATGTACTGCGAAAGTAATAATTCCGCAAAATTATAGCTTACGTTTTTTTCGAAACAGCGGAGGTCCAAAGTTTTTTATCCGGGCGGTAAAAAACCGATCTTATCGACATCGCGTTACAATCCAATTTTCGAAGTTTTATATTTGAAAATTTTTAAACGTTCGCTTCCGCTAATACGCCGAAGTTGAGAGATTTATCTGCCGGAATCTTCGAAAGGATTTAGAACTTCACGGTAACGACTCGAAACTAAAGTCTGCCTTCGAAAACTGGAGGAAGAAAGAATTAGTCGATCGAATTACTGGATCGTGATTCGAGTTCGAATTCCTCGTTCCGCAGGCTATTGTTCTAATCAGCTAACTTTGCTCTTCCTTTTTTCAGTCGATTGTACTTCACTGTACAATTTCTGGCATCTCTGATTCCCTCGTTGATGTGTCATAAATGAAATAGCAATAAATATGATAAATAATTAAAAGCAGAGTTGGAATTAGTCTGTGATTAAATATGGAAGCTTCATCAAGGAGTGAAGTCGCATTTTTAAAACGTTTAGAGACGAAAGACGTAACAGAATAAAAGTGAACGTGTACTTTTGTTATCCTACGTGCGATATATTAATGAAATAAATATTTCACGAGATATTTTATACGTTTAGCACGCTTTTGCGACTGCATCAATGCAGAAAAGTGCACGAACGTGATACAGAAATGTGGAGCACATAACACCATTAAATTTTGACCTTTGATATTTTTTCTGTCTCTAACCGTTTTAAAGGTGTACAAGCTTCACCCAGTTGTACGAAGCGTCCTATATGCATATCAGCTTTTTTACTTTTCACCCTCGAACGGCGTCGGGTCATGCTGATATAATTTATAATTTACAGCTCAAATTTAATTTCAAATTCATGTAAAGTTTCATTGGATGATAAAAGTATACAGAGTAAAAATGCAACTCATGAATGTTGTATCTACTTTGTGCGTCAAATTTCGATCGATGTCATAGCTGACCTTCTTCGACGATTAATCACAGATAATTCGAATTCATCGACACAGCGATTGTCCCACGATTGAACATTGTACTTCTCTGTTATCTAGCGAAACGAACGACATGAACACGGGTCTTCTGGTCGAGGCTTGGTGCAAGGGTTTCCTGTGGGATCGTTTCTTGGGCTACTACTACGTCCCATTATCAGAAGTGTCCTACATGAACGAGGTAACGTCTAAGCAGTCCTTCAATACACTCTCCGGCACAGTATCGACAGGGAAACAAGAACAACAACAACAACACGTATCCCACGACAGCATGCGCGACACGAACAGCAATACACAGCCACCAGACTTCACCAACACGGTACACTAATTGATACATGTAGCCGGTTAGATTTCTCTCTTTGTTTGCCGCCATTTCAGATTAATTCCTAAACACGCGAGCTGTCGTACTTTCACTGTATGCACCGAATTCTCCATTATAGCCAAAGAGATACAACGCTTTGTATTATTTTGGCTATCGATTGAGCCGCGTCCCGATATTTCAGACGCTTATCGCGATCGACCAACGTGTACGTTTACAATCTACGCTGTAGATCGTCTGTATTAACCCGTTTACGGAAGCCATGCCCGGGTACACGATAATGTGGATTATTAAGGATCCAACAGTAATATTTTAATCTTACGCTTTCGTTTGCTTAAAATTCGTGTAACTTTAGAATTTAGGATTTTGGTATTTTTGTATGCATATTCAATATGACGCTTGAGGAATCTGAGCTCGATTAGGGATTAATAGTTAGTAGCTATAGTAGGTGCTTTATAGAAGCATCTCAGCTGGAACTTCTGATATTTAGTTTGACTAGTTCCAGTTCAATTTTACATTAGAAAATCATTCTTTTAATAATATAGTGCTTAGGGTACAACACATGACGACATGACACTCACTCATCAAATTACCAAGCTGAATTAATTGTTTTAATTTATGTCACAAGTTTGTTGCCTTCAATAACCAGTATATTAAACGTCTCGTTCGTCCATTACATCGAATTTGCAAGTAATACAGTTCATATTTAAGGAGGCTTCTTGTTATTCACGACGTGTTAGACAGGGTATCGAAAGGATGCGAAATTGTGCATTATCAGTTCCACGTATCTGCTCTGTGTAGTACATTTCCACAGAATTGTCTAACAGAGAGCCGTACCACTGTAAATTTACCGCAGGAACGTGTATCTAGGTATTTCTGAAATTTCGAGTCGCTTTCGTGGATGCAGTATCTTACAATCAACACGGATCTGACTCTAAGCAACCGCGACGATAAAGTGATAAAACCTTTACAATGCATCGGGGAGAAAGTACAGTTTTACTCAGAGATTCAAATTTTGGACCGTTTGGAATTTTTAGAATTTTCTGTCTTCAACATTTGGAGGCTCTACCCTAAAACTTTTGAACTCAGAAACTTCGAAACACATGGGTTTCAGAACTTTAGAACCTCGAAGTTTAACCCCTTGCACTATTTCGACGAGTCTGACGCACTTGTACTTCGGCTGCGATTTTAATCGAATTTTGAATACGTTCAATTTGAAGTCCGATTATAATTTGCACAGTGAACTGCATAAAATGAAATAGACATTACAACATTCTGTTTTAATATCGTAGCCGAGTCAGTTGTGGCTGACGCACCAAATAAATCACAGCGCAAGGGGTTGAATCTCCGAATTTTCGCCGCTGAACAGAAAAGCCACCATCTGCGATAACAGTAGAAACATAGTGTCGTTACTAGAGAGTAAAAAAATTAATAAGCGTTCGCACGTAGACGGAAATTGAAAGCAATCACTGTGCTGAGCATCGTTAAAAGTGTCGTGAATTTTTTTGCTCGTACCGCGCCCCTCCTCTTGTTATTTTCCCGTAAATGGCACGGGATCGTACTCCATCGAGCGTGAACCTTGCTCGATTTTAGTAACAACGGGAAAAAAAGGTATAGCTAAACAGGGGCAGAGAAAATACGGCGTCGTGACGTGTTTAAATGGTATCGCGTGAGTGCAACTGATCGAAAAACGGAGCAGTACAACGTCCTGCTTAAAAAATCTCGTCGACAAATCGCTAACACGATACGTTTTCTTGTGCAAAAAACTTATTGCGATTTCGTGTGAGCTTCGTGTCACGATAGAATCTCGTAGGATACGGTGTACTGTCTAGTTACGCGAAAACTATGGGTGTTTATTGCATTGTTAAACAGACGTGACGTTACTGCCGCTAAATTACGAGAGCCATTAAAAATTACGGTCGCGTCATCGTTGCTGCAGTTACGGCATTTACACCATCGTAAATTTTGTATGTTTGTTAATTTCGGTTATTGTCGCAACTGGTTAGACTTCGTGTCTCAATTATTCTGTCGAATTGAATTTTTGATGTCTATCGGCGCACGCGAAAATTGCCATCTGCGAATTTAATGACATTTTAAAATTGTTCAAAAGGTTTTCGATATTTGCGGCAGTTCGCTGCTACTTCGGTTTTAATTTATTCAAATAATTAAGCACTAATGGAATTTTGATTGCAATTAATGTTATATGAATTGGGTAGGGAAAATAATTTCATAAATTAAACGTTTGTACCTTAAACACGCTGGCTTAAAATGGTCACAAAGCCATTTTAATTCATAATTATTTATTAACATACAAAGATCTTAACATCCCAGATATAATTAAAAAATTCACGAGGTATTTCATAAAAAATTTTGAAACATTCATATTGTACGTAGCACCTTTTTGGTAACCAAAGGCAGGGTGAATCTACGCGAAGAAACAAGTAAAAAGTATGACGTGGATTTCTTCGCCGAAGCTTCGTTGAAAAATTCTCACGCGCCATACCATGTACATTCTTTTTGCCACCTGGTCAAATCGTGTACAGCCGTATGCATACGTGATGAATTTTCAAAATCGATTTCCTCAAAAAAGAAGCTTCAAAAAAGTTTCACATCACGCCTACGCTTGTTCTACATAAAATTCTTTTGTTTGCATCCATTTATCATTGGTATCGGTAATGAAACTTTAATACAATTTTCCAAGAGGTTGAGTTTCCTACGGTTCCTTTGAGACATATCCTCTTGGCAAGTACGACGATAAAAAGGTTTGACCTTGAGCCACGGTCCGATCAGTTTTATTTAGTGATCCAGAGACGTAGATGGACATTACCATGATATATCGTAGAACGCTGAAAGATATTCCCCGACTATTTTGACCCGGATTTTCAGATTCTGCTCGCGACGAGCTTCGGCGAGTTGTTCGTTCCAGAAAGCTTGTTATCCCGGAAGCGTTGATCCATCCTCGATCGAGCGGATATCGCGTACATCGAGTGGCTCATCGAGACGACTTGATATTCCGTAGCCTGGCATGGCAGCTTTCCACGCGTGAAATGAAACCGAAACAACTGTTTACACGTCGAACGAATCGCGAATCAATCGACGCCGGTTTTGTACGTTCGATGGAACGCGTAACGAGTTTTAGGGTTGTTCCCACGATGTGGCCGATGCTCCGGATTGGTCTGTGCACCGGTCCAAACTGGTCGATAATGCGATTACGACGGAGGTCCGTCTCCACGGCCAGGAAATAAAATGTAATATCTTGAAACTTCCACTCGAGAAAATCGTTGGTTTCTGCTTGACCGAGAATTAATTCGATTGCGGACGGAAATGTTCTTGGATCGAACTAGATGTCTGGCCGACCCGAACGCAGCCTGCATGTATAAATCGAACGATTAGCGGAATCGAGGATTTTCTTCGTTCGGTTTCATCTTCTCGGTAGTGGCACGGTGAAGACAGCATAATTCTGGTTTCCCATCGTTTATTTCTGATGACTATTAATCTTTGCCGTCCATTTGCGAAATTAATCGGTCGAGTGTGATTGAACTCGGTGCAAATATCCCGGCAAATGAGGTGCTTGCTCTCGGGTTTTAGCTCGAAACTTTCGGATTGTCAAATTTATCAGGCTATTTTGGCGAGCGTACAAATTATCGAGTTTTCAGTCTTCCACATTTAGAGACTCTGCATATTGTCAAAATTTAGAATTCCTAAATATACACTCTGACAAATTTTCAAATTCACGAACATCTATTTTAAAGTTTCTCTATACAATTTTTTTCTATAAACTTTTCTTAATGCGAGATATTTATTATAGATCTTGTATATATATACAAGATATATTTTAATAAAAGATCATTTTTAAAATCGACTTTGTAGCAAAGTTCTACTTAAATTCCACTGAAGTTCATCTCGTGAGTTCATTCTCCAAATGATCGAAACTTGAGAATGAAATTTGATCGTTAATCAGGATGTTTTTTCGTCATCATCTCGAAAGGCTATAGGGAAGTTCTAGTCATTCGATAGTCGTTTCCCACGGTTGAGAGCATTATACGGAAAATCGGTCGCCGAGAGAGGAACGATCGAACTTTCGCTACGAACTGGAAGTCGAACTCGTAAAAGAGCGAAAGGTCTGCTCGCGAAAGCTTCCCTTTGCGGTCAAAGAAGTCGTTTTCATTGTCCCTTCAAAAATATCGGTGCTATCCGTTCGCATTCGTCCGATTCGTTGCCTGGAGGAAAAAAAACGAGGAACCATTTTCGTGGGGAGTAAAGGGCCTGGTAATTGTTGCTTGGGAGCTATGATGGCGTAACTCATGCCTGACCTGTTTCTGGTTACGGATTTGCTCATGTTATAAGTTGTGTAACTGGGTAGACACAGGACTAGGGACGCAGGGATATTAGAATATTTGTATACTGATGATTTAGGAATTTAAAGATGTGCAAATTTAGGGATGTAGAAGTTTGAGATATAGGGATGTAGATATGTAGAAATTTAAGAATATAGGAAGCTGGAAATGTGGGAATTTGCAATGTAGAGTTTTAGGAACATTAAAGAGATCTGACAGTTTAGAGACGTGGAAAATATCTGGTAATTTAGGAATTTGAGAGTATAGGGATTTAGGGATTTGCAGATAAAGAAGACTGAGAATATAGAAATCGGGATATAGAAATATATTAAGACAAAAATCTGACGATTTAAAGGTCTAATACTATCCAAGAATATCACAAAATATTTCTAAACTTCTACATTTTCATATTCTAGTTTATTACATCCACATTTTTCCACACTTACGAACCGCATGCTCTCCAATTGTATTTGATATAATTAGTACAGGAGATATAATTAGTACATCTGATATATTGTGAATTCT